AAAAAAAAAAACTCATGCTAAAAAGGTAAAGATTTTGTCACTCACTAACAATTGAACCAAAATACTTTCAGCTTAGCATATGTTAAAACATTTATGAGAAATAGCCCTTGACCAAATGTAAAAATATCACTTTTAAGCATCAGCAAATCTTTCTTCGCTTACCTTACGTGACTCACTTAATAGGTAAATTGCTCGTGCCCTCTGCTTCCTGCTGATTAGGGGTTGCTCTTAGCACGATGCACATGAAAAAAATCACAAATGTTTCGCAGAAACCCACACAGCAATGTTTTTCCGACTTTGCAGAACACTGCCAAAAATATCTGTCTGAACCACAGGCACCTGGAATGGATATCAGAACATATCACAAATTTTAAATTAAAGTCATTTCATTTTGCACTTCTTTATGAGACACCGCCCACTCACAAGGTGACCAATTGAAGAGCTGAAGAATCAGAAACATCTCAACAAAAGGAATATCCAGTTAGACTCACTAGGCTTTGGGTTAAGGAAGCTTATGAAAACACGTAGTGTTGCATGAAACGGGGGAAGGTTAGCACTCCCCTTGATAAGGATGGAAGAGGCCCTTGGGCCTGAGAACACGCAAATGGTTAAAGTGTTGCCACCTGCTCCATGGCATCCAACCACTGTTTTTGCCTTGACTAACTCTGTATGTTGATATCTGCATCTAAGCAACTACATCAAGGACCACAATGTGTAATACAAAAGCCATGCTTGAGTGCCTGTCAACATGGTCTTCTAAATGTGTACCACTTCTAATGTCATACCAATTATTATTATACTCTCTTTAAAATAAATTTTATAAAGAGAGACAGAATAACAAAAATTTAAGGCTTCTTGAAAGCAAGTGGTAATATTCAATATGACCAATCTTACATAACTGTATCTGTTAATGTGAGCCACAGATTTGACGATAAAAATAGATAATATATTAACCATTGTTAATTAGCTACTCTTGTTTTGAAAATCTGTAACATATGTATTCTTGTATGTTACCCTGTTTCCATTCTTGTTTCTGATTTTTGTTCTTGCTTTTGTTTTTAATTTTCAAAATTAAATTAAATTTAAAAGCGTATAGATTCTGGTGCCTGTTCTGCAAAAAACATGACTGGGTGGTGCGAACACACTGTAGCCCCAACCTACTGTTCTCACAATATGTTTCTGTCCCTTTGGGTGAGGATCTATTGAGAAGGCTCCTCAGTTCTCATGCATAAAGTTTCCAAGTGTTACTAACAGAGGAACATTACGCAATATGATGGCCTTCACAATTAGCAAAGTACTATAGCTATAACATTTCCATTTATATTTCTCCTTTTACAATAAAGGAATATTTTAAAAATAAGTTAGAAAGATTTCACAAATAAAGAAAAATATATTTACAAATATTTAGATAACATTTACCCATTCAGTTTTTTTCTTTCAACCAGAGAGTATTGATGATAAACTTTGGATCAGACACTATATTAGACCTTAGTTCGTTTTTAGAAGGCTTCCTGTTTTGATCAGTGAAGTGGTTTAGAATGACAGAGACACATATTGATAGGCAAATATTGTATCCTAGGGAGAGAAGCCCACTGTTTAGCAAAAGCTTACTGAAGTGTGAAGTTGCTAAAATTTCCCTGCCAATCAATACCCCTGGTGGCTTCATTTAGTTAGTTCTTAGAAATAGACTTCCTTTTGCGAGCCTGAGCAGGATTCCATCACTGGGGATGTCGCTTCCAATTCTGCCACAAAGAGTTGGGTTAAACCAAATTGTGTTTCTTGCAGTAGATTCAACCTCAGCAGAAATTGTTATGGTGTCTGGGTAGTGACAGGTATTTTTTTTTCTTGTGATATTAATATATACAAAACAATCACTTAATACAAGAATGGTTTACAGACTAACCATGAATTCTTCCCCAGACTGAATGCTGCCTGTGCAGAGCAAATGCCAGCTGGGCACCCTAGAGCAGTTGGTTAAGCACTTTCAGCCACTAAAACTGTATAACCATGGAAGTCAGAATTTCTTGGATGTATACAAATTTCCATGATGTGATTTTTCTCTAAATTTTGGATGCCTCTCCAAGGAAATTACCTCTAATGACAATGTCAAACATCTTCCCCACTCTTAGCAATCTATTGTAAAAAAAAAAAAAAAAAAGTATGTATGACTCAGTAAAATTTATGTAAAGTACCAGAGCAAGTCAAACTTTACAATTTCTTGCGAAAATTAGATCTTCCCATCATGGAAAGCGTTACAGACCCACCCACCCAATCGCGGCATCTCAGCTTCTTTTCTGTCCATCTCTTATTCCCCTTCTCCATCTGCTCACCCAGTAGAATTTTCTGTACACAAAATTATCTTGTTCTTCATTATACAGAATAGTTAAGCATTCTATTATTGTGGAATATGCCTAGACAAATTTGTGAAAATGCTCCTGCAGTTATCAATTCCACTTAACTTGAAAAATAGCTATTATTGAAAGTTAGGATAGGGAAAAAAAAATTGAAAGAGATCCCAAAGCCAATCTCTCACTTCATCTCCTTTTCTAGAAGACAAGCATTTTTGTAGAACATTGTTTTATTTAAGGAAGATAGTTGAATATTCTGGTATTATTAAGTAAACTAACGGGGCCTGAGATGTGACTCTCCCTTCTGCCTTAATGGGCAATAAGATTGTCTCATAATTACCTACAGGAGCTGACTGTAGCTTGCCTTCTTCTCAATTTATTTTACTTTTTGATCTTTAGGAATTGCTTTTCTACCCTAGTAAACTCCAGTACAGACTTTGCTTATGTGTTGATGCCCTTTGTTTCATGTGTATTGTAAGTCATATTTTCCTCGTTCTGTTTTCCTGATAGGGTATTTTAGGTGTTTTAGTTTTCCATATTGCTCACAATGGGAATCTCTTTGCTGTGGTTCAGTTGTATATCCAACAAAATTCAGCTGCTACCAGTATGATAACATGTAGAGGTGGGCTTGAAAGAGGAGTTCGGCCCACCAGGGCTCCTGCCTTGATAAAAGGGTTAAAGCTCTTAGGAAAGAGCCAAACACAGTGGTCAGCTAGTTTACTCTTCCACCTTCTGTCCAATGAGGGTGCACTAAGGTCTTCACTAGAACAGATTCACATGTTGCTTTGACCTTGGACTTCACAGCTTCAAGAACTATGAGAAATAAATTTATGTTATATACAAATTACCAAGTGTGATGTATTCTGTTGCAACAACACAATATGGATTAAGATAATCTATTATTATCAGTATTGTTGCCTGCTTTCCTCTTTAAAAAAATTTTCATGATTACCAACAGAACTAGAATGTTTTAGCTAATGTCTATGACTTATCATAAGCAGAAGTCTCAGAATAAAGTTCAGAAATAATGTAACCTGTATTTTACCTATATTTTATTGATCAAAAATAATAGGGCATTTTGCTTTGACCTTGCTTTGACCTTGGACTTCACAGCCTCCAGAACTATGAGAAATAAATTTCTGTTATATACAAATTACCAAGTGTGATGCATTCTGTTGCAACAACACAACATGGATTAAGATAATCTATTATTATCAGTATTGTTGCCTGCTTTCTTACAGGCAGAAAAGTCTATTGCTGTATAAGATTTCCTATTGCCAGGCTAAATATGAGCACTCACAGCTTTCAAAAGGAAAGACTTGATATCAGAACAACCCCAGGCCCAGCGAGTGTGTGGGAGAGCTTCTGCTCTGTCCTGCACCCAAAGGTCAAAGCCCAAGCCCGCCACATGAGGCCTTTCCAGGCATTCTCCAGACCTCCCCTGCCTGTCCAGAGCCAGCACAACCCACCCTGCGAGTGAGAACTTCCAGCGTGCTCTTGGGAGTCCTGCACACCTGCCAAAGCCCAGTCCCAGTGAGTGTGCAGAAGAACTTCTGCACTTTCCTGTCCCCACTTCCAGACACAT